TCTCCCAACCACCAAGAGATTTCTAGTGTCTTTAACTTCTCGAAATTACTGGATATGGTTACAGCTACGTATAGCATCAATTAAAGTTATTCAGTTGGACCAAAATGTCGCCAAATAGTCACCAAGCTTGGCGACTTTTGGCAATTTGATGACAAAAATTAATCGGCCCCAAACCATCGCCAGCTTGACCATATCTCGCCGGTTTAGTGAGATAGCCATTTACTCAATGTTAAATACATTTGTCCCTGTAATCGTATTTTTTCAGCAGAGCTTCGTGTTTTTTTTAGACTTTTCATGTTAATTAAACAAAAGACAGTAAATAAACTTTGTCAAAAGGAAAGGCATTAGACAAAACAAGAAAAACCAAAGACACTAGACTTTTAATGTAACTTTGTTACATTAACAAAAGTTTCACATATAATTTCACTAAAATTAATTACATGTGTACAAAATTCTCAAGAGTCATTTTAGTAATGAAAATGTATAAATCTTTCAAAAAACTTAATGACATTTTGTTCCTGTTTATAGAATAAGAGTATTTCAAATCGTGGATCTTAGTTGTTAATTCGCTATCTGCTTGTGTATCCAAGCACTTTATGAATTTCGTTTTGATTGACAAAAGGACTCTAAATACAGACTCGCATGGGCTGAGACAATTAGTGCCTTTTCATTAAGTTTTGGGAACCTATCTGGGAACCTTTGGAATAATATTGGCGTCAGAAATGCGAACGCCAATATTGTTCCAAAGTATTATTCTCAAACTGCATTTCAAAAGCATAATTTCTGCACAGTTCTAAAAGATCTTCCTTCAGTTCTTCATCATCTGGCATATTATACAGAAAGAGTATGGGTTTATAATCCATGTTTCTGATGTTTTCAGATCTCCTTCTTTAAAATACCCATCAAATGACTTTGAAATAATTTCAAATGATCCAAATTTTTTTCGCATATCCTTGGAATTAGAGGCCTATTGTTATTAATCTTTGAGTAATGGATAGTTAAAAAGATTACTTTTCTAATTCGTCGACACCTTGTCGAAATATGTTTTGTACGCTAACCAATATCCTACGTGTAATTTTTTAACAATTATTAATTTATTTTAAACAAAATATCGCACCTCCTGGAATGCTACTTCTCGGCGGGAATCCATGCTATGGAAACTATACCTAAATAGTTATAGAATTCTCAGAACATCTCTGACCTAATTTATAGAAAATTGGGGCCATATTCTGAAGGATTCTAAATAAGTTTAACTTCTTATTTTTTACAGAATTCCACAAAACCTTTTTATAAAGGTGGACGCATTACAATGCTCTTTTTTTTTTAATAAATATTTTAAGCGGCTGCTTGCGAAAACGGTTGGTCACGTTATAAAGTATTTCTCCCGCCTTCTTAGCGTGCCTTCGTGGTGTAGTCGTCTGCACACTGGGCGCGTATTCCAGAGGTCCGTGTATCGATTCTCGGCTGGAGCGTTGCTCCTTTTTCAAGACTCCTGCTTCCAAATAACCCAATAGCTCTCCAGTGGCGCCCGAACTAAAAGGGTGGTGAATGATGTATCTCCACACCCAGGATTTGGCGATTGGGTCCCCTAAAAACCCCAGTCGCCCTTTAGAAGGGGGAATGTGTAAGGTATTTCTCCCACCTTCTTAGCGTGCCTTCGTGGTGTAGTGGTCTGCACGCTGGGCGCGTATTTCAGAGGTCCGCGGTTCGGTTCCCAGCGAAGGCATTGCTCATTTTTCATCACTCCTGCTTACAAAAAATGCAATGTCTCTACAACGTGAGTAATGATTTTCCTACCATATACAATTTAACGTGAAATAACTTAATACTGCTTTTTTTTTTTTTTTTTTTCATTAAACTAACCGTTTAAGTATTTATTATAAAAAGGAAAAATGTAATGTTTTTTAATGAGTCCAGTTAATGTCATTTCATAAAAATGTTTAATATTTCTAATTAGATATCACTTGATTTAAAAATACTTTTATTTAAATCAGTCAGATCCAAAAATAGAAAAAATATTCTTAAGAGCTGAGTTTATTGCTTTTTAGTCGCTTGGTTTGTTAATCAATAACCGACGGATTCAGTTTGAACGTTAAAAATCTTAGCTATACTGAATAGCAACATGCTGACACATAGGAGATAAAAGCGTTTTATTTATGGCAGTGACAACATATTGCATATAAATAATTGACTCTGCTGATTAAAATTCAAATGTTACTTTCTGTCGCTGTTGCAAAGGAGATAAAAATGTTTTATTTCGAACAGGATTACCACTGCGTCGGGATGCATTAATTAAAAATTAATTAAATTTGTAGAAAATATTACACCGATAGAAAACAAATTCCAAATTCTAGGTGCTCATATTCGGATGGAGGAGTACGTATATTCAAAATCTGGTGGCTCTAGGTGCTGATGTTTTCCTGCACTGCGAGAAACCATGTATGCATAACATTTCTTCGTTATTTAATAGTAGAGTAATTTATTTGCATTGAATCTGCGTTTTCTTGTTAGTATATGAGAACTTCAAAGTTCGTGAACTTCGAGTCCCTAGTTAGATTAGACTGGTCACCATGCGATGCTTTGTAGTCTCTCACGGGAAAATATTTCAACCGTATACAAAAGTGAAACAACTGAATATGTAAACGCAGTTTTTGACATGACAAAGAAAAATGCCTTGTTTCTTTGTGCTTTCAGTTCCACTACGTCTTCCAATAAACTCTGTTATGGGAACTCTGTCACAGGATTGAATTCTTTTAATTCTTAATATCTGGGCAGCACGCACTTGTGTGATAAATTTATGCCTTTTATGTAATTTGCAAAAAATGCTGTTATTAATAATACCCGCATATTTTTGTGAAACATACAGCAAATCACGGAAGTGTTACTTGGAATTTACATATGGCTTTCTAGGAGAGTCCTTGAGGAGATTAGGAGTAATAAGGACTTTGTTTTATCTTTATTTTATTCCATTTTTGAATGTTGAAATTTTCATACAGTTCCAATATATTTTGAGAATTAGACTACATTAAACTAAAACAGTCGTTCCTAATCTTTTTTGCTAAATGCACCGGTTTTATCATTGCTAACAAGCCTTCCCCCTTTCAAAACTCATAAAATACATGTACAGTTATTTTAATTTAGATTACTTTTAATAATTTGTTTTGTAAATTAAAGAAGCAAAAGTATAGAAGATGTTGATAAGTACCGAAACTTAAATAAAAGTCGTTTTTGGAAAAGGATTTGAACCCGGGATCAGGAAATCTGAGGATCGTCTTAATACAGGGATCACCGAATACCATGATCATTTTTTATCTGGGGATCATGTGATCTGAGAATCATCTTGATCCAGGGATCACAAAATCCGAGGATCCTTTTGATCCGGGGATGACAGGATTATCTTGTTCCGAAGATCATGGGGTGCGAAAATCATTTTTGATCATAAATGATCGGATTATGGGATGTGAGGATGATTTTTGATCCAGGAATCGTGGGATCTGAGGATCATTTTGATCTATGTATCATAGGATCCCAGAAACATCTTAATCCGGGATCCGAGGATCATTTTTGATCCGGAGATCACGTGATCCGATAATCATTTTTCATCCGCGGATATCACAGCATCCGAAGATCATTTTTGATGAGGCTCACACTAGGTTCCAAATTTTATGTATGTTTTCAATTTCTTAATATGTTAATTACTTTTTTTATTAATTTATTCTTTCTTGCACAAAAGCAAAAATTCTACTTTTTGTTAGCTGCCTAGATCCATCGACAATACATATATGTAAACACAGAGATACTTCATTATTTAATAATGTACATTAAAGTGATAACAAATATTAATTATAATTTTTATGGAATTAAACTTATTAATTATAATCTTTATGGAATAAAAAGCTGTTATTTATGATCTAGAATTAAAAACAATTGTTATATTACCCTCAATTATAACCTAGGAATTAAATTAATTAAATCAATTAATTAGAAATTAAAAACAATTAATTACTATCTGTATGGAATCTTACATTAGAAAATACGAAGAGAAAAAATGGGTGCGCCGTGGACGCTGTCAGCTAATCAATATTCGCATTTACAAAGTGTTAAAGATTGGCATACCTTTTTTCTATTCTATAATATTTTTTCTATTCTATATTTCATAATATATTCTATTTTTGGATGTAAATTGATAAAAGTATACGGATGACCTGTAAAAATATTGTAAAATATCAGTTTAATTTAATTATTCTTTGTTTTGAAGCCAACTATATGGCATTGATTTGTAAAGCAATTTAAAATAGAGTTCTTAATTTAAAAATTTTTATGTTAGAAAACAGATATTTTTATATATCAATAGCTTATTTTTATTTATTTTAAAGTGTGGATGCTAAGATTGCAGTAATACAATCAATAGGATTTTATAAGTCTTATTATTCTGATCTAATTGTACGATTTGCATTTTACGAAATGTTTTGGTGTTAGTTTTAAAATACTAAGGACTAAATGAGCTTTAACACATGAGTTGCCTGCTTTAGTTATTATTTATTATTACTTTAGTCATTATTTCCAATGCCAACAGTGACATCAGCATCTTGGTTAATATGGTTCAAAAAGGCGAAGAAAAAAAAAATATGTTAGGGGTGGACCCACTCAACTGACCAATGTTTATGTTTTCGTAAATGATAGTAATCGAAAACAATCTTGAGCCATCATTGAACAGTCAAAATTTTTAGTTCTGTCCGTGCGCTTGACGATATTAACTCAGCGAAGACATGATTCGAAACAGATTATTAGAGACTGAAAAGAAGAGTTGAATGTTGGACAGAATTTAGATGCGTTTGGTTGGTCATTTTAATTTAAAGTGCTATTCGATTCGTTAGGGAATTTTGAACTTGCTAGTTCATTAGGTTAACTTAATTATAATCTTCTCATTGGCACAAATAATTTAAGATATTTATAAAACATATTAACGTCATTTAAAATAATAGCTGGAGCATACATACCACAGAGCGTAAAACTCAATCGCCCACACATCATTGCTATGTAGCACTAAATTATCAAAATTCTTGGCTTTGAGATCAATGACGTAGGGATCACGTTCATAAGAAAACCCTGTTAAGCGTGAGTCAGTCATCTGAAAGAAAAAAATCAACGACCAAAAGAGTAATCCTGAAAATGTAAAAAAATAAAATAAACATATAAATAAGTCAGGTGTATTTTTTTATTAATTTTTATTCACAATGTGTTTACACATTTTTAGAACGATTTCGTTAAAGAATTAAAAAAAAAAAAAGCAAAAGTTTTGGAATCTGGGTACAGCTTAGTATTTGAAATGAGAAATATCATCTGCTACATTTAAATTTATTTAGACTTCATATATAAAATAAATCTTTAACTTCATATAGAAAATAATTGTAAATTTGAATTTTATCCCTTTGCGCTATTATTATTATTGTTTATATATCTTTTGATAAATACTCATTAAATGATATTTAAAATTTAGTTTATTTATTGTGTTTTTCTTTGTTGAAAATATTTTTAAATTTTGTTAAAATAAATTTCTGGCTTGTCATCTGCTTTCATATCGAGCATTCGGCCAGCATGCAATTTGAGTTTGAGAACACTGTCCTATGGAAATTTTTTGCCATAAAAATCTAAAGAAATTTTATAAAGCTTTCACAGAACAACGTTCTATAGAAGAAAGCTATACAGTAAAATTTAAATAAACTTTACACCATAGCTTGACTTTCAACGTGTAAATACACGACTATACTTTATATAAAAATAAAAAACGCTTTTATAGAATGCTATTTTAAAGAAGTCTGCTAAATTTTCAAAATTTGATAAAAGCAAATTTTTAGATTAAATCATTTTAAATTATAAAATCAGTTAAAAGATTGCTTTTATACTATAATTATAAAATTTTAGGCCTTGTGAATGAATGCTTTTATGTATTGTATATCTACCGCTGATTGGAGAAATGATTTCTTAAATTTAGTTAAACTTCGGTAATATTTAAAATATATTTATTTTATTTAAATAATTCTTTAATCAAAATGATATTGAAATATTTTATTAGAAAAAAAGATTTCGATTCTGTGTCAAAAGTTTATTTCATCCCCCATCCATGTCATACATCATGAGCTCTCAACCACGGGGTTCCTCAAACAACCAACGAATTCCTCCCTTGGGGGGGGGGGAATTTGATAGTTTCAGTAGGGAATGCGTTCAGTCTTTTATTTACCTGTTAAGAAATTTAGTTGTAGTTTACAAATATAAAAAACTGCTTTCATTCAGGTTTTGGTATTTATCAACATTTTCGTTTTCGTATTATATTTATGAAACACTTTAAAAATATTCGTCTTTGGAAAAGAACTCTTTCTAATGCCAGGCCAGAAATTAGAAAGCAGATGAAAAACCAGAAATTTATTTTATCAAAATTTTAAAATATTTTCAACGAAGAAAAACATAATAAATAAAGTATCTATATTTAAATAAATGTATATGCGTATTCCGAGCTCTGAAAAGGACTCATTTTTCCAATAGAATTCTATTAGTTGATTGTACGCCCATTATGTAAAATTCTACACGTGGGATTTTCGCAAACTGAAAACTTTGTACAGGATCACTGCACAGATCTCTATAGAATACCTACCTATATAGATCTTTATAGTAGAATATCTATGTGTAACTCTACAGGATACAGGAACTATATCTAAAATTTTATAGAATTCTACAGAAAATCTCTGACTTAGTTTATAGAAAATTGAGCCATCATTCCACATTATTATACATTAAGGAAGTTTTGATCGGATATTTTTTTATAGAATTCTATAAGACATTTTCGTAAGGGAGTGCAGGAGTACCCAAACTTCACACGAATAAGCATATTAGAGTTAAAAAAAAACTGAAAAGTCACAAGTAAGGTGAACCAACCAGATACAGGTGTCGCATTAAGTATCGAAATATTAGAAAACGAATGCAAAGTTAATTGTGTGAGCATGGAAAGTAAGTTTAATGTGTCTATCATTTGCGTGTCTAGCAGAATATTTTGAATGTGTCTACCGCTTTTTTTCGCAACATTTTGCAAACGAACTTTTGCATTCGTCCCAATCTTCCAGCACATATCCTCCAAAATTACACGTCATAGTTGTTCGTTAAATGACTTTAATTGAGCTACATTTTCAGGTTTATTTGCGTGAATACCTTATAAGGTATTACTCCCGCTTTCTTAGCATGTCTTCGTGATGTAATATCAGCAGGCTTTTCACGCATTCGAGAGGTCCGTGGTTCGAATCCCGGCGAGTGCATTGCTCAGTTTTCGCGAATCCTGCTTCCAAAAAAATCTTAATGTCTCTAAACCGGGCGCCCGAAATAAAAAAGTGATGGATGATGATTCTCCACCACCAGGATTGGGCCCCCTAATTCCCTTTCGCCCTTTAAAAGGGGGAGTATATAAGGTTGGCATGCCTTCTTAGCATGCCTTCGTGGTGTCATAGTCAGCACGCTCGGTGCATATTCGAGAGGTCCGTGGTTCGACTCCTGGCGAGGGCATTGCTCATTTTTCACGACTCCTGCTTCAAAATACTAAATGTCTCTACAGCCTTATCTTTGAAAATATCCCATAAAGAGAAATCACATAGATTAATATCCAGACAGAGCGGAAGCCACTGTCTCCCACCTTCGTTACTTTGAGTAAATCGATGTGAAATCACATGCACCTCAAAAACATCTCATACAAGAAATGAAGAATAACACTTGCAGCGTATGCACAGGCTCCGTCCTGTATGAACCACTGAGTATGTAAGGCGCCTAAGTATTATAATTAACAATTTAACTAATTATTTTTATAAATTTTTATTTTGACAATGTTTTCTGAAATTGTTTATTTAAAATTCTAAAAATAAATGTGCAAGCACTACTGTTAACAACTTCACAACCTCTTTTATTAGTAAATAAAATTTATTTCTTTCAGTTAATAAAATTATCAGTTCAAGATATTACTTCGTGGGAAAAATATTGATGACAAAATTGTAATAAACAAACACTCTCGAATTTTGCGTAATTTGAAAAATTTGGTCAAATTTCTTACGTGCATTTTTATGAGACATTATAATTATTATCATTATTATTATTATTTTAGAAAAATTCCATTACCTTTCTTTTGGAGATATCCCTTTAACTAACTGTATCAGTAGACGCACGATCATGTGATATTTCGTCTACAAAAATCCTTGGGAGAAACATCAAGACCTTGCTTTAAACCTAGGAATCGACATCTGGTGTTCGATGAAATTTTAAAGGGAGTAAATAATGATCAAAGGATGGATTGGGAGTCGATACCCAAAGTTCAAAAAACATGTATTCTACTTTGTTAATATAAATTCCTTGTTCAGCGCCACATGAAGCAAACTGTGAAAAACAGATATCACTCTCACTGAAGCCAGATAATTATTTTTCTAATTTAAAACTCACTTGTCTATATCGACATTGGAGTGTTCGAATTATTATGCAAGTTATTTATTAACATTTCTTGAACAAAGTATTTTATTACAAGGAATGATGTTACTTATTTTACAATAAGAAAAATTTAAAACAAAGAAAAACTAGTATATTTGAAAAAAATCTGAAGTCTGTGTTTCACTGTTTAGTGCAAGATCTATGCAAATAAATTTCAACAGCACAGGTGTCCGAAAACAAATGTAAGTCACTGTATAGAGTTATATCTCAATATTTTATATACATAACTCTATATAGTAATAATGCATAAGTCTATAGAATTTTAGGTAGTGTTCTGTTGTCGGGACAGTATTCAGAAATGTATGCGTGTATATATCGATGTATGTGTTCATGTACGCATGTATATATGTATGCACGTTTGTATATGTGTGTATACACATACTTATATACGCACATACCCACACACGTGCATACTTATAAAGATTTCTGATTTCGGTCCCGGTAACAGAAGAGTACCAAATTTTATGCAAGATCTTTGACCTAGTTTAGAGAAAATTGGACCATAATTCTGAAGGATTCTAAAAAGGTTAGCATTATATTTTTAATGAATGATTTATTAAGACATATTGATAAGGGAATATTCAGTGTAAAAAGAATTTTTATTGTAAATAATAGCTGATAATAGTAGGTATTATTTTCAGTGCGCATGTTTCAACTGGATCTAAATCAAGATATTTTATTTGTAAAAACATTTTATTTTTATGAAACAAAGACTTGAATTTAACAAATTAATTAACCAGTTTTTATCCTTTCAGTTCAAAAACCGCTCGACGCGTAATCCTACATAAGGCCGCGAAGATTTTTTGTTTTTTTTTTTTTTGGGGGGGGAGAGGTATAATTGTAGTGAACTATTCCTCTTAAATATTTTAAAGCAAAACTAAAGCAGAAAAATACGATTACATGACTCAACATTTTTTAAAATTAATATAAACATTATTTCTCAGTGAAAATTTATAATTTCTGTAACAAGCTAATACTCACATAATTTATTTATAAAACAACTTAATTATATCAACATTTATAATCAAATATTTAGTTATTGGTTTCGGGTATTTTTAAAGACTGACCTGTTATGTGATGCATTGTAGCGTTACATCCAAAAAATCAGTTGCACAGTAGAATGTCATACAACGATTTAACTCTTTCAGCCTCGTCCTACGAAAGCACAGCTGAGAAAACCAAAAACCTTCTCTGAAATTGAAAACGGAGAAAGAACAAATGCCGATTCAGAAGATATTTATTATTTACTGCGTTAAACTGACATTGGCGTTTCTCGGTGCGTAGAATGAAAACATCAAAATATTTTTTTTTTTTTTTTTCGTAAAATTGTTCTTTTTAATCCTTTTAAATTCTGTAGCAGCATTTTTCTCTCTTGTAAAATAAAGTGTGAATTTTAAAATAATATTAATAATAATAAAAAAAGTTTTAAAACAGAGCAGCATTTATTTAGTTCACTTATGGTATTTCATTATGGATGGAATTTTGTCATCGATTTATATTCTACTTCTTGCTAAGCTACCGATTTCAAATTTAGTACACACATTGTTGGTCAATGATAATACAATGCAATGAAGTGATCGTTTTTTTAAAATTAGATACTTTTTTTCACTTAATATTTAATCAGTTTTTCGCGCATAGCTTCGTTTGACAAAGAAACAAAACATATAAGAATTTTACTGTTTTCACTATCAAATACAACAGGTAAAAATCTTTTCAATGAATGTTGTATGAAAATTTTAACTTAATTTCTAAGCTTTTGATTAATTTTAGAAAATCTCCTGAGATTTTAGACTATTTGACATTTATGATTTTAAAATTTCACCGTCTAAAAATGTATCGGATTTAAAGTTTTGAAAATGTCACAGATTATAAAGCAAACTTTTAGCCCTCTTTCTAAAATCAGAATATTAAATAAAGCATATTAATCAATCGATTTCCGAGTTTAAAAAAAATGAGTTTCAGTCTGGAGCAGACGACAGAAAAGGGTTTCGAGCGGAAAAATAACTTTTGAGTTCGCCGACTTGGTACACTTAATTACGAATTGTCGATTTTCGTTTCTTCTTTGTTCGTTAAGTAATATTATTATTACGCCCAGTTTCGGAAACTGAATATTCAAAGCGCTTTCTTCATTCTCCGAATGATTTTCAGTTGTGCATGTTTATTTCATAATTTTCTCATAATTTATTGCTCGTGTTCTACACTGCTGGACATTAAAATTGCAACACCATGAAGAAAAGCAAATACAAAAAAGATATATATTGCACGAAAACAATATAGCATAAAGACAAAGCATTAAATTTGTAAGCATTTTGAAGGTTTACAGGGGTGCGAAATTAGTAGAAACAGCTGTCACCCCTGGCAGCTAAAACCGCCCATCAGGCACGAAGTCAAACTGGGCTTGTAATGACAGAAATTGGCAACACATTTCATGCTGCTTCAAGTCTATGCCACACTTCATCAGCCGTATTAGCTATAGAGGAGTGGCGGTCCAGTCTCTCAGCAACACATGACCAGATGTTTTCAAGGGGGCACAGATCTGGAGACCGTGCAGGCCACGACAGCAACTGAATGTCATTCGGAGAATGAAGTGTATCGAGGAAGGTCAGAAACCTGTGTATTGAGGAAGGTCAGAACACGACGTGCAACATGTTGTCTTGCATTATCTTATTGGAACATGGCGTTTTCAGGCCTCGAAGATAGGGCACAACCACTGGACGTAAGATGTCAGAAATGTATCGATCTGCGTTCAAATTACCGTCGATCCGAACTAGAGATGTGCGTGTCGTGTACCCAATCGCTGCCCAAACCATCACACCAGGAGCAGGGCCCCTATGCCGATATCGAATGCAAGCAGGCGACGTGCGGTCTCCTCGGACACTCCAGACACACATATGGCTGAATTGTCAAGGGAAGACGAAGTAATGGTCACCCTGCTGATTTTCCACGCTGCTGCAAACGTCGACGCACCCTACGAGATGATAATGGGCGTGCTGCAAACATGCCCATTTTCTGACTAATGGTCCGTGATATTGTCGTACGATTTTGCAGGGCCAACCTCACAATACGCCTGTCCTCTTTGGCGTTATTCGTGGGAGGGCGTTGAGATCCCGCATACCGTTCAGTATGACCCTCAGCAAGCCATTGGTTCCATATTCGGAAGACAGTGATTTGGATGTCGACCAGTGCTACCGGCTCTATCACGGAACGATAATCTACATTTCGAATAGGCAACGATCCTGCCTCTATCGAATTTTGAAACTTGCTGGTAAGCATTTCCTCTTCTTATTCGAGGCATAACACGGTATGAGCAAATTCCAACCTTACAAAGCACTTTCCGAATAAGAAGTCTACTACACAACTTTTCTTTTATGCAGTTCTTCAGACGTCGTTTCTCCCTCCAGCGTCGTCTAAATGCGCTGAAATACTAATCACTTGCATATCCAAACTTCTTCCTTTCATGTGATTTTGACGTTCGTCAGATCATTCTGTCCTGACTTTAAAGGTCAGCAGTGCAATAACGACTAAAAATTTCGTTATCATTAATATGCAATTGAGACTAAAAAATCTGATGTGTGCACCATATGACTTCCTTGTACGGAATATTAAATTATACGCATTTTTTCTTGCATTTCATTTAAACTTATTGGATTGAATTAAATCTACTTCGTCGATAGCGCATAAACCACAATAGAATAAATGCATTCTTTACCATAGCGTCATTCCGGCGTTAGGTTCACTTAACAGCGTTACATCTCATTCATTTTATAACTATGTCTATGTCATAACTCAATTAAGAGGCAATCGGCCTAGTGCGACCAATATATTATAAATAGGGTATCTTTAATGATGAGTTGAATCCAGTAAGATGGAACGTAATTTTTGCACCTAGTGCAGAGTCTCTAGAAGAGAAGTAAATGTAGCGCCATCTTTTGGCAAAAATTGTAGTGAGCGTGAGCGAAGCTGAGGAATTTTATAATTCAAAATGCACAAATTTTATATCATCTGGAATTATCTAATCGTTGCCACATGTTCTATTCAAGTACTATGATAAATCTAAAATTATGTATAAAAGAAATTAAACAAATAAAAAATGAAACAGTTTTCACAGATGATTCAGTATTTTTCATTCAATTAATTCAGTTTTCACTTCGCGACAAGGCAAAAATACATTAAAACTCAAAATGTCTGTATTGAAAATTATGAAGTAAATCTTTAACACTTATTTTCTCGAATAAATTCCAGAAGGGATTAAGCATGATTTAATTCGCAGTAATAAAAGAAGGCGTTATCTTTGTTATTGCGAAGCTTACTTTCTCTAGATCGGCAACAAATCCACTATTCTGCTAAGTTTCAAATGTAAACAAAAATGGCTGCTATGGTAAAAATAATTAGTCTTAGTCCATTTAAACAACTTTTAAATTACTGATAATTCTACAAATATTGCATGCAGATTTACTAAAGGCATAAAACTCTTAACCGGAAGATAAGAACAACATATTTCAATCATTTTTTAAATAAAAAATGTACAGTTTAAAAACATATAAAAATAAAGAAACAGAGATCACTGAGCCGTGTAACAGAGTGGATATATATATTTATGTACTTTTGGTAAGGCCGATTGCAACCAAAATAGGAGCTGCTCATCTACATGTTATAGCAGTCCTAAATACAAAGTTTAAACGTTCTGAGGCTACTCTTTTTTGAGTTATGCGAGATACGTACGTACGTACGCACAGACGCCACTAAAAATTCCTTTCAGAATTCATTTTAAATCAGTTGTATCAGTTGTAATCAGTCTTCACGCTGGGCGCGTATTTCCAGAGGTTCGCGGTTCGTTTCCTGCGAAGCCGCTGCATATTTTTCCTCTTACCTGCTTCCAGCAAATCTTTATGTCTCTACAAGTAGCGTCCTGACTAAAAGGGTGGAGGATGATGAATCTCATCACCCAGTATTTGGCGATTGGGTCTCAAAAAACCCCAGTCGCCCTTTTGTATTTCTTCCGCCTTCTTGGCATGCCTTCGCGGTGTGGTGTTCTGCACGCTGGGCGCGTATTACCAGAGGACGCGGTTCGATTCCTGGAGAAGGCTTTGCATATTTTTCCTCTTTCCTGCTTCCAAAAAATCCTAATGTCTCTACAGTTCTATACATTATATTACTGTAAGTATTATTGAGGGGCGCCAATTATGCTCGCTACGCAAATGGATCTCGTTTTAATCAAGAGAGCAAAATTTTAATTTCCATACAGTTCTTGCCCTTTCAAATTTAAAATATGTGGAAAACTTGTTTAAACTCTCAAAAGGCAAGAAATTTGTTTTTGTCACATCTATCGTTCTCAAGTTATGTCAAACAACTAACACGTAAATTTCAGTAAAAATAAGTCAAAATTTATTAACAAAGAAATCGCATACAAGGAAGATAAGCAGAAACTGTTAACAACCCTCGCTCCCGCTACTGCCTGTCTTATGGCAAATCGGCGTAAAATGTTTGTACCTGGGCTGATTGTGCGCATGCGCTAGCCTAGATGGTGCGAATGCGTATTTCCAAACCCTACCCCACTTTTCGAATTTTTGACGTCACCAAAATATCGACTAGTTTCACCTGGCAAGACGGCGTACCCCACTTTTGACTACTACGGCGCGTTTTCGAAAGAATTGTGGTGTTGATTAGTATGTTTAGGTGCTACTTGTGAGATTTTCGCAATTTAAATTATTATGAGTGGAAATTTAAGCAAATCTTAGTGAATGGTTATTGTTTATGCCGTAGTGTACTTGAGGAAAAGAGGAGAATAATTCACTGCTGATGCTTAACGTATGAAAAATTTGGAAGACTCGGCAATAAATGTGATGCATTCATCGCAAAATTCAGCGAAGCTAGTAACAAAACGAGTGTTCGCAAAATTATCCACATCTAAAGTCCACTATAAAAAATTGTATGTGTGTGCCAACACAGATATTTAATAAATAAATAAAAAAAAAAAAACTTTAGATCAAGGATAAGAAAGAATTTCAGTGCCTCTGTGTGCTTAAAACTACGAAGCATTCTGCAGACTTTTATGCCAAAATCAAGGTTGACAAATAGATTAATAAATTTTAATGTTTCTTTCAGTGTATATATTTCGAAGTATTAAAATAACTTGGACAGTTGTTTAATTGCTTGAAACAGCAAAAGTTCATTTATAAAGATATACAAGGAACTTCATAATTATAA